GTTTAGTGGCTCTCCTGCTGTTTGCATATTTCAGTTTCACCTTTAAAGTCAGTTCAGAGTTTCCATAATTTACTGCAAGTAATCTGTAGAGATTTGAGACAAAATTGGGAGCAGTAGTGGACAGAAGTGCTGTAAATACTTTGGTCAGTCTGTGTGTTTTCAAATTACTTTTTTAGTATTCTCCTAGAATACTAAGCTCCTTAATGTTTGAGCCAGTCTAGATATTTACTTGTGCTACTTCTTTATGTGCTGGGGCTAGCAATTAACCCTAGAAACTCATGAAGACCTATTGAGATGATTTCCAGTCTTTTTTTCATTAACAGAAGTTAAACATTCTTGTTGTTACCCCACCATATTTTGTCCTGTGTTGTGACAAGATTTAGGGGGTTATATACCTGTTAGTATTTAAAAGCCACTGAACTTGTATCTTTCAAATCCTTGAAATATTAAATAATACTACTGGATTTTTCCAATCTGAACTCTATTTTCTCCACTAGGGTGATGTTTAGCTATGGTTTTCCTCTGCCTGTGATACAAAAAACCCCTTAAAACCCAAACAAATTCTCCAAAATCAGACCCCAAAAAGTCACTGTAGCTTTCTGCTAGCTTTGCAAGACTGTTGAACTATTGTTGCATTCTTTTTTGTATAGCTCAACATTTGTCTTAAGGTGGTCTTTCTAGTTCTAAAGCAATTACTAATTGTACACATTGTTAAAGAGGGTGTCCAGGTACCTTTTAGTAGGTGAACAAGATTTTTAAAATTATCTGTAGAGAGAAAACAAATGGAAAATAATCTAGTGGGCAGTCATCTACAGAAAGAAAACTTACATCTTTTTTTTTGTAACGGTAACAAGCCAAGAAATCTGTCTTAATCGAAAATTGTCAGGAAGTTAGGAAATAAAGATATATCATTAATCTCCGTGTAACGCACACTCCATATTTCATCAGTATAAAAATACCACTTGGAAGTACTTGGAGGATTAACTTGGAGTCATGAGAAAAGCACGTTTATAGCTGGGGAAAAAAATATGCTGTACTTGAAAGAATCAACATAAGGTTAGAAAGAAAATTCTGACTGACAGCTTATTCTGTGATAGCAACTAATTAACCTCCGGTGCCTTTCTCTGAACTGTGAGCCACTGCTTCCCAGAGGCTGCAGAAAGAGTGAGGCAGTTCCTCTGCCTTGCGATTGCAATGTTAATATTCATTTCACATTAAACTCCAGCATCCTCTTGTTCTTAACGCTATAATGTTCAACACACCGTGGTGTTATCATCCATATTTAGAGCAGCTTGTGAATTATCGCTACATATTATTGTAGTTTTAGCCGTCTCCTCCAACTTTTTTGTTTAACTCTGCTTAAAAATGCTACTTCTGCACTTCTTGTTTAATGATTTCTATTGATCAGAACAGTAAAATTAATTAGAAAATGTATTAGCTTTCTTCTTTGGTAGTATGCTTAATTGTGATGCACTATACTTAAAGTTAAAAAAAAAAATCGATATGTTTACATTCATTATTATCTAATTAATTATAGTGCTCAGCAGACCTGTGTTAATGAATGTAAATAACGCCTTTGGTAAGTGTCCAAACAAGACAGATGTATGTCCTGTGTTTTTGCTGGGAATTTGGTGGGATATAAAGCTTGTTACCCGTCTGTTCTGGGTGTGAATGGCAGAGTTATTTCTGAATATTCCCTTTACGGCCCCCCAGACAAAAGTTATATTCTGAATGTTTAAAATTTCTTTGCAGAACACTTTTAAATCACTCTCGTTGTATATGATACAGTGCTTGGGGTTTTGCTGGTTTTTTGTGTAATGCGATGAACACAGTGCGTAGAAGCTGTTGCAGTTTTTACTTTGTCTTAGAAAGATGTCTTTATCTTGTTACGTGAAGATAAATGCTGAAACTGGTGCAAAACCAATGACAAACTTATAACTTCTGGTTGCTCCAGGAGTGCTCTTTCCCTCTTGGTGAATGCCACAAGGCTGGGATTCAGGGATCAGCGTGCAGTTGCCAGGTCTTATTGCTGACTTGCATTGTAACTTTTGTCAAAACAGCTCCTGAATGTCACTTTCTGCATGATGGGAGAGGTATTCTGCCTTCCTACATATACACTAATAAGCTGTAGGTAAAAAAAAGGTGATGGATTTAAAAACAAAAGAAAAAAAAAAAAACAAAAAATCAACCCTCCAAACACAACCATATTTAGAAAAAAAATGTCATAGTTGCTTAGATATAAAGCAATAACCAGTATATGAATAATATCTAGTTATGTTTATTCTCGTGGAGTAATACATAGCCGAGTTATTGTTTGAGACTAGAACAGTAACATAAACAGTTTATTTTCTTGTGGATTTTTATACTGTGGAGGTTTGGCATTTTTAATATCTGATTCACATATGAAGTTCCTGCGCATACGTAACGGCAAATGTGGAGGAGAAATAGTGAAAATCTTTTCTGCAGAAGAGCAGCAGGTTGTGAGCTGTTGTGCTTATATGTGTGATATAGGTATTGGACAACTGTCCATTATGTATTGAAAATCAGGTAGGAGAAATAACTGCTTATAGCCACACCTGGCATGATTTTAAGTATTGCATTGAATATATTGAAATATATTGTATCCTCTGTATTGGGTGTGCAGTTGTAACAAGGGATCTTGTGCTATAGAGGACCTCTTAGGACAAAGCTTGGGAAGTTGTATGTAAGATGGCCTGTTCAGGAAAATGCTTACAGTATCACTGCCATTCATGGAATAAATGAATCGCGGTCAAGGTCTTTGCCTTCATTTGTAAAACTTATGAAGTATGCTGACTGTAGAGAAATAAGGTAGCATGGTGCATGTGGCAAACATGGTAAAAAGCCCACTCCAAACAGCCAAGAATGTTGGTTTACTTGTATGTTTCTTTTCCTAATGATTTTAACTGATGTTTACATCTTCTATTTTCTTTAGAGTTTAGAGAAAGTAATTTAAAAGCATCTTTGTAAAATGGCTATCTGATCTGACATTTCAGGAAGACCTTTCAAGAGCAAGTAGGGAGATTCATACCAGTTGAGTCTGCAGTTCCTTTCCAGTCATACTTACAAGTTCTACCCACTATTTTACATTTGTTCTTAGAAAGACGTGTGCAAATTTAGAGACTGGGTGTTCTTTGAAATTGTGTTAGATTTTCCTTGATGTGTTTGTATTAAAACTAAATCGCATTAAATAAACCCAAACCTACAACACCCCAGAAGAAGGTGAATAAAAATGGTTTAGGTCATGAGCTAGCAACTACTTTGGTTCTGTGTAACATTGTTGGATTCCAAAGATAGTTTGGAGAGCACTTTTCGAATGTACACCCTGTAAAACTTTATTTAAATTACACTCTGCATTTCTTTTATGAACTAGAGATAATTCTGGTTCAAAAATGACACAAATCTCTCATGCTGCAGTACATCCGCATTTAATTTTTTCAGATGTCTGAGTATTGGGTTGCTACCTTAGAAGCCAAAGCTGTTTAGATGTACTGTTGTTCCTACAATCTGTTGTTATGTCTGTGTACATAAAATCTCATGGTTTCAAACCCATGTATGCTGTTGAATGGTGAATTTGTTTTGAATATGTTTTCATAGCTGACCTTCTGTGCCCATGGGTTTGAACAAAGCACCTCAGTGCTGTCTGAGTAATGTGTGAGTTTCAGAAACTGCTCTACATAGTCTATGTACCAAAGAAGGTGGGGGTAAATTTTTTTTTTATAAAAGAAACAAAACTTTTTTTTTTAACAAGAATTTTATGAAAATTATTTTTCATCCACAAACTCCAAATTTGTCTTTACATAGTGATCACAGTCAAAACTGGGAGAGGGTGAAATGGGGTGGTGGAGTTTAAGCACGTTCTGGTCACTTAAAGTAATTTCTGAAACTAGCTTGGAGGCCAGTGTTTTTACCTGCATGTTTAAAATTTGAAAAACTTCCTGTGTCTGAGATTAGCAGCAATTATGTCAGTGCTGCAAATCTTTTTGTGAAGCATGGAGTCTTTATTAATAATGAAGATGTCTTCATCTATGAATTAACAGCTTATGTTTGCTAATTAATATTACATATATATATGCATTATAGTGCTATGCATGCTAATAGGTAGTACATTAGATCACGGAAATTATAGGAACTAGTTATTGTTAATATTTCTGGAGATGAAATTTATTTACATTTTATAATAATTACAGGTTAGGTTAGTTGGAATTTTGTATGCATATCTCTCTATGTAAACTTAATTTACATCTCAAGATTAAAATGGAAGGCTAATAATACTTTAACAATTCTACCTAAAATTAGCCCTTCCTATCTAGATTTGGACAGTAATTGTTTGGAATCACAAACATAAGTATTGACTTCACACTAACAAATCTTAAATTAAGATTATGAAGTGGTTGCCTGCAGTTGCAAAATACTGCATATGATGTCCTAAAGGAGTTGTTCTAGTTGTGAGTTTCTAAAGGTAGCTTATAGTTACAGCTTGAAACCCCACTATGTATATTTTCTATTATTAGTTCATACTTGAGCAAGATAGTGGAAGCTGTAAGAATAAAATTACTGAACTTTAACATTACACTTAAGAGTTTTAGTCTCTCAGCTTTTCCTTGGCAATCTGGTAAAATAGTTGATTTTGAAAAAAATGGATGAAACCCCTGCAAGCATCCTACGATACTGGAAGCACATTTAGAAATAAGATAATGTGGAAGTGTCTTACTTGGAGAGGTGGGGGTGGAAGGAAAAGGAAAAATTCATTAGCTGAAAATAATTTTTTTTAAAGTTACGCTGTTTTAGGGACTATTAACACTTCAATCTTTTACATTAGCTGAAGGGGACCACTAAGGACTACTCTTGTCACCTGCTGATTTTGAACCTATAGCCTCTATGCTGTTATGTTTCATCCCAGAAGACTCTCGTTTTAATACACAAGAGCACTGAAAGAAAATGAGTTTGGTCTTAAGGTTTCTTTATTCTAATCTTCTTAGATCTCTGGTGGAAGAGGAGGATCCTCATATGAAAGTATCTCTTGGTAGCAGCGATATGGGCATCTCTGCCCATCTACAGTCTTCTAAGACAGGGACCACAAGATTTTTCACCAGCAATACTCACAGTTCTGTGGTATTACAGGTAATTAAAAATTTTTGTGTCATTGTTGATCTGTACTGAGAATTTTGGCTACTCTAAGCAATGTCTCCACTCAATAATTCCTAAAAAGCCTCAGAAAACCCCCATGTTAGTGTGCTGTACTGACAATGACAACAAGCAACCAGTATTTGTAATTTCCTGCTAGTTAAAGGTTTGACGTGTAGCAACAGCTTGGAGAAAAACCCTGGCCTTTTCTTCAGGTTGTATCCCTGTCCACTCTCAATTTTTAAGGGGTAATATCATATAAACTGTGAAGTGACAGCTGTATCAAAGAAGCTCACTTGAATATAATAATGTAGTTACGTTAGGCAAACACTTGTACCATCTCCTGTGTGAAAGCTGCCCTAGGGATGTGATGGGGGGAGCTCCATGCTCCTTCACATCCCTAAGGTGACAGAACTGTGCCAGGTTTGTTGTAACGCCTTGTGCTGGGTCTGACTATATGGTGCTACCATATGGTAGAACATTTCTTTAATGAATAAAAATGTTATGCTCTCTGAAGCCTTAAGAATTTAAAAGTAAAGTCATTTTCTCTTCTCGTTTCTGCTGGAGCTTTTACATACCATACAGAGTCAAGCTTGCGTAGCTCTTAGGGTTTTCCAGTGCAGTCTTTCTCAGGAGTGCAGATGACTTGTATGACATGATTGCTTGGAGAACTGCCACTTATTTTTTTGATTTGCTGCCTAAATGAATTGCTTAAGTTTTGGGACAATGTGATGGTGATTTTTTGCTGTTGTTTTTAAGTTTTTTTTTTAAATTCAGAGAAGCTAGTGATTCTTTTAGTTTCTAAGGCTTGGGTGCCTGCGCATAGCTCTCCCTTGTTTGAACACTAGGCAAAGTGTTCAGCTTATTTCTTCCTCATTCAATTTTTTTTTTTTTCCAAAATTTGAGTGAATGGAGAACCGGTAGTTGTAAAGCCTTATTTGTAGGAACTACAGGCAAGTCCAGTCATTGAAATACATTAGTTTTATATAATCCTGTGTGTTGACTTCTGATTTATTGGAGTTAATAGCTCATTTTTAAATTTGCACTATGTTCTTTTCTGTGTGACACATTTGAATATTAATTTCTACTTACCTTTGTGGTTCTAAATATACAGCCTTGCTTTAAGGTATCTTAAATTTTAAATGATATTTGGCTGATGCCAAGACTTCTCAAAGTGTTAAATCTATAAAGAAATATTTACATTCTTGTTAGTGCTAGAAAAATGCCAGACATGTCTGGTTTTATGTTTGAGCTTCTATTCTTCAGTGTGTGAAGGAGGCGAGTATTCCACCCATCCTCCATTAGCCCCAACCAGGCATACCTTTAGAGGAAAATCTTACTCTAGGGTGCTGTTGTAGATGACTTTCTTTTTTATTACATTTAGCCATTATAAGTAATTCAGAAAAGATCAGATACATAATATGAGCTTGTTTTGGAGCTTTTTCCATGTAAACTTTGGTAATAAATTTGATAATCATGTAACCAGGTGACAGATTTCCTTTCAGCTTGCAAAGCACTTAAACTGATACGGAACAGAAATATATCTAGAATGCATATGTGTCCAGAAAGAGTAGGTCAAAAAAAAAGGTGTCAGTCACTACTTGGAAGTAATTTATTTAGTGGAATTAGTGGAATAAAGCTATTTTCTAAGGCCTGGGGTACTTTGCATTCTTCAACCATTTCTGGACAACAAAAATTATTCTGCTTGTTTTCCAGTGAGTAATTATCATTGAATACATTAGAGATAATGGCTGTAAAATGACAAAATTATTTCTTAGTGACTTTTTGGAACTACTGTACATATGTACATAAAAGGAAGTATTTACATAAGGGAAATGAAAGAGATTCCTACTCCCAAATCATATGGATGCTTCATGTTATGCTCTTCTTGCAGGGTTTTGACCAACTGCGAGTGGAAGGTTTGCTTTGTGATGTGACGCTTGTTCCAGGAGATGGTGATGAAGTGTTTCCTGTTCACAGAGCAATGATGGCTTCTGCAAGTGATTACTTCAAGGCTATGTTCACAGGTAGTGTTTTTGTTAAAGTAATGCATACTGCTGTCTCCAAATTGTCATCCTTCGTACACTCAGACACATTCAGGGTTTGTGTGAATCATGAAATTATTTCAACCCAATAAAAATGATCATATAAACTTACCTACATGTCTTTTTTTAGGAGGAATGAAGGAACAGGATTTAATGTGCATTAAGCTTCATGGTGTGAACAAAATAGGCCTAAAGAAGATCATTGATTTCATTTATACTGCAAAACTTTCCCTTAACATGGACAACCTTCAGGACACCCTGGAAGCTGCCAGTTTTTTGCAGATTTTACCTGTTTTGGACTTCTGTAAAGTGTTTCTTATCTCTGGGGTAAGACTTTCTATTTGTTTCACATTTACAATGATTAAGGCCTTGGTGTGATTTTTTTTTTTTTTTCCCTTTTTTTGGTATAGGAACAATGACTACGTAATAGTCAAAGTTACTTCTAAAAGCTGTCATTATTTATAATTCAGATTCACAGAGAACAAGTTTGCTTTGTAGTTTTCTTTTTTCTTAGTATTATGTACAGTGTGAGTTTGATATAAATTTTATCCCACAAGTGTATTGCAGTGATGTAGCACCAATAATATTCATAGTTCCCAGATTCCTTACTACATTTCTTAGTTCATGCCCATAGACTCTGTATCCTTCCATAAGAAAGCTACTTGGTGAGTTAAACTGAAAAAATAATAAAAGAGTGAGCTGCTGTTGCTGTCTGTCACTTTCTTGAAACCTTTTTGTTTTGAGGAATGAAGCCCACAATTGTAGTGAACATTAGAGACCATTACGTCATCTTTATAAACCAGTGAAGTTGGTCACAGTCCTTCAGAATAATACATTCTCTAAAGGAATTACTAGTCAGGGGTGTTACAGAAATGTTTGTTATATGAGAAGAGTAGCTACAACGATTTTATGTTGATTGCCATAGTTTGCGCAACTAAAAATGACTTTGAATGCCTGCTAGGAAATATTTTTTCACAATCACCAAAATAAGTGCTTTTGTAAGGAGGGGACAGCCCCACATTAGCAACCCTCTCCTCTTCTACCAATAATGGTTAATTAAAATAATAATACTTATGGAGCACTTTTGCTTTTGTGCGTTTGGAGCAAATAAAAAGTTTGCCCTGCGAGGCAGTGTACTGTAGTTCCAATGTGGTACAGTTGATTTATCATTTAGAGTTGCCTTACTGATTTTTATTTATCTCAGGTCCTGAACCTGCTCTTGGGGAAGGGGTAACTTTGATGATAACCTTTTTTTCTTCCTCCTTTCCTTCCCTATTTTAGACTTGGTGTCCTGTCTTGTTTTGAGGCTGTGCTTTGGAGATGAATGCCACGCTCCCTTCAAGTTGAATGTCAAACAGTTGTGCAGTTTTCTGTGTATTAAAAGCAAACTTGTTTTTCTGTAAAAGCAGGAAAGCTGTTAAAAGATTCAGCTTGTCAAGTGGTAACTGGCTTCTTGTGTAAGCCTTTTCCTAAGTTCTGTCTTCATGGGTGGGAAAAGGCATGTAAGGGAAGAGATGTGACATGAAAATTCTCCCATTTATCCAGCTCCAACCTCTTGTTAAAAGCATTGAATTTATACTCCTCTGTTTAATCTTACTGTTTATTAAGCAGAACTCACGCACTTGATAAGTTTTGGGGGAATTTTCAGACATTTTATTTTTTGGACATCTTTTACTTAAATCTGAGATATCAGAGGTTTCAGGGTCTCAGTGTACGACTGCACTTATTCTAGTGTTACAGTCTACTCACTGCATACATTTTGTATGCTTTAGTTATGCTCACTTTATTTCTAGAGTTAAAACAGTGCAATCTCAGAATACGGGTACTGTTACCTGTTTTCTAACTTAAACACAGTATATAAGCAATGCTAACATAGGATGTATCAGTACTTTTCCTAGTTCTTGCCCTGCTGTCTTGTATTAATATAACTCCTTGTCTTGTCAGCAATAAGGAACAGCTACTTTGTGGGGCTGCCGAACGAGAGAGCTGTAAGAGCTGTGCTGTCAAAGCAGTTCTACCTAGAGAGACACTGGCATTATTTTGAAGTTACCTGGAGGTTTTCTGAAGTTAATATTAATTGCTTATATCTCAAACTAGAAATGTCACTTTACCTGTGACAGGGAAACTGATGTGTTCTACATGAATTATAGTATTATTTGGAATTCAGCTTTCTGATAATCTGTACTGAGAAATAAAGAAGCAGGGATTCTCATTGCTCTTCAGAATACAGGCTCAGAAATGTGACCTCCCCAGTGAAGACATGTACTGGGATTTATGCAAACAAGAGGACTCCGAGCTGCTAATAGCAGCTATCTGTTTCAGAAGAAACGTGTTAGATGCATTTAGGCTCTATAATGCTACTGTTTTTATTTTAAATTTGCCATATTTTCTAATTGGCCAGTTCTCTGAAAATCTTGTGGTAATGCTTCATTAATCTTGTACACTTAAATCCTACACAACCTATTTTATGTTGCTCAGGGGTTTTTTTACCTTCAGAATGATGCAGTCTGCCTCTCTGGGGTTGATGTTCCTATGAATACCAGCTTGGAATAAGGCCTTGGTGTTCTTTTGAATCGGGGATTTGGGGCTGCCTGCCTCTGATGTTGCCCTTTCTACTTTCTGGATAGGGCAGCTGTTTGCTTATTTTGCTTTTTTGGGGGAAACGGCTTCTTTCCGTTTTAGATTGTGTTATTTGGAAGAATTTTTTCACTGTTTAAAATGCTTAAATTCTTGTTTTCTGAAGGTTCCTTCATTGACAGTGTTGTCTCAGTCACTGTGTTGGTTGAAGCAAGAATCATCTTGTTTGAGACTACATTTTGAAAGAATCAGGAAGATGTACTAATCTTCTTAATTTTATTGATTCTCTTTTATACCGGTATCTAAGGGAACATAATCTTATTCATTGTGTAACTGTACAGGAAGTACAAAACTAAGTTTGTGCTGTTAGCCTAGTTATGTTGTCAACATCCTTGTGTAAAGAATTTTTGAATTAACTTACTTCCTAATTTGTTGGAGCAGAAACAAGACTTGGTGGGGATATGGGTTGAGTTTTTTGCTTTAATTACCATATCTTAGCTTTACAAAGGTTACTCCCCATTATACTAGTTTCACTCTGTTATTGAAGGAACATTTCTGTAATTTAAATTAGTTTTCTGAGCAAGTCTTGAGCTTATTTCTATTGAAATTAGCTGAGAGCAGCATCTGAAAGCTGATGTAACCATTCCCAGACACATACTTAATTGTCTCTGAATTGTCTAGGGAGTTCGTTATTAAAGAGATTATGGAAGTGAGTTTATGTAAAGCATAATGTAATTGTATTACTTCATAAGAGGGTATTGGAAATATTTACAAAAAACATAAGCTTAAGATAACAGCTTAATTTGTGTAAAAAATAGTAAGATCTTAAAAGAATGGTGTATGTTGTAGCTGTCTTACAAGTGTTCTTTTATTTGTTTTGCATTTACACTCCTCCTGTCAAGTAGCCCATTGCACTGATAATCTTTGTTCTGCAGCCGAACAAACTCCCAGAGAAACACTGGAATAATTCCTAAGATATTTTTAGTCTTAATTTTAGTATTAGTTTTAAATATTTATATGATACACTAGGTCTACTCCCAGGTTCACGTTTAAATGAGCCATAATGTAATTAAAATTAATAAAAATGCCTTGGAAATGTTTTCAGAGTAGGGAGTGCTAGAGAGCACCCAATGCTGGTTTTGCAAAAGTAGCAGCAGTGTACAAAATTGAGAAAGATGCGAAACCTATCCAAGTAAATTACAGCACTCGGGAAAATCGCAGTGTAATGGGGAAGGGGATGTTATACTGTGATTAAACAAAACGTTCCAAAACACTGAAAATTAATGTCTTGGCTGTACCTTTCATATAGCTGCATAAGAATATTTTATTCCTACTATAATTGTGCTTTACACTTTCATAACAACTAGAATATTGTCAGATATTGAGGTCTCAATATTTGGAAGTCTGTCTCACCACAAGACCTTGGTTAACTGAGGATGGAGCAAGATAAGTCTCAGTTTTGTGGGAGCGTGCGGTCTAACGCTGGGGCCAGCTCTGCCAGCCACCAGAAATCCACCTTTTCTAATTTGGGGGTATGATTGATTTTTGTTTCCTGACCTGGTCAAATTTCTGTGCTGTTATTTCTGGACTTCTATATATGGGAGCCCACAGAAAAATTGAGGCTTTCAGGGGAATGTAAGCTCTTTTAAACTTAGACTCTTTGAAACACCATGTTAAGTGCTTCCATGTCTTAACAGTCATTAAAACAAAAGAAAGTTCGATGCCTATTTTCTGGTACTGAGCTTGAGGACTTGATTTCCTGTGCATATGATTTCTTCTGAGTTTTTCTCCAGCATTCTCATACTTGCAATCATTTTGTTCTGTGTCCAGTTTTCTAGTGTTTTATAGTCAATTAAGTTTTTACCAGAGCTTGGGAAATGATTGCTTCAGAAGTTCAAAGAATTAAGTCAACTGCTTTCTCAAGAAAGTACTTTGGCTTTTGCATTTGATTTTTCAGGTCGTAACAATACTGTGTTGTGCTTGACCGACCTTTTTTGAAAAGCTTTTTAGTATTGTCTGCAACTTCTGCTTTGTAATGAGCACTTACAATGAGTAGTGTGAATGAGCAGCTCTGTGCAGTAAGTCAAAGCCCAAGTAAAATAGGGTTTATTTTAAATTCTTGACTTCTTAAGAAGTTGCTTAGCTGCTTGACCAGTTATGGCTTTTGGCCGGTTCTGTGTATGTCTACTAGTTACTGGATTCACCGTATAGCCAGTCTCATTTTTTTGTCTGATATTTCCATTCCTCCTATTAGCTTCAGTGGGATTTCCAGATGTAGCAGTCCCTTCTGTTGATGAACTCCTGATGGACTGACTTCATAGAGAACGATTTCCACAACTCTCATAAGTACCGTAGCATAAGTCAAACTGTTATTTAGAAAGTCAACACTTGAGTAACATAAGTGCTTAAGTGTTTAAATAGCATTATTGTACTTGTAACACTGTCCAATTTTTAATATTAAAAGTGGAGTTGACTATTGCATTTCATTCTGTTGAAGGATTACTTTTTGTCTCAGGACTTAAGAATCTCTAGAGTATATATTTTTATAACTGTGAAATCTTAGCAATATAATTTAGCCTGGTACTTTGATTGTTGTCTTAAAGAACAGTAAAATGGGTAATAGTGCTTTTGCCAAGGAAAGTAACCTTTAAGAAAACATTTAATATGTTACACTGACTTGAGGTGAGGGGTGGAATTTGTTAGTGAGCCAAAGTGCACCATTTCATAAGCATAATGGGGAGTACTGACAATCATAGTATAAAAAAAATCAGTCCTGAGTGCAGTACGATTCCAGGAGATTAATTAAGGAAGTAAAGGGTAAATTTTCTGAGAACTAGAGGGTGACTGGAAACTTCTGATGTCATATTCATCAGTCACTAACAGTGTGTAAAGTGTCAATATATTTTTCAAATATATGTATACCAGGAATATATTCAATTGCATAGATTTACGGTATAACATAGTTATGATAATGTATCAGCTGGACACATGCAGGGTACTTGATAACTGGCATGTATTCTGCAGTAGCTCTAAATACTTCATTGCAACCTGAATACCATGTACCAATGGTATGTAATCAATACATTTTTTTTTTTACTTTGATCTTTTAAGTATGCCTTTTCTGTATGCAATATCTTTCTGATTGCTTATCTTGATGTGGAGAAATTGCTGCATCTCTGTAGTTTAATGCCAGTAAATGTATTCCAAAGTAGTTTTTAAATACAATAACTGTATTGCAAGAGTTAAGATTTGTGGTATACTGCCAGCTGTTTAAGGGGTGATTTTTTCCCATTGTTTTAGTTTTATTATACAGCTTGAAAGACATTTTAGAAGTAAGAATGTCCTGTTTCATTTACTTAATTTGAGGTATGCTGATACTTCTATTATGAGTTCACTTGTGTAAATTTAAAATCCTAAAAGGAAATGTGGAGAAATTAGGTTGATACTGACTCAACAGTCAAAAGAAGAAAAAATGTTTCGTAAGTATCATAGGTTTATATCAAAATATAATCACATCAGGTAGCAATAGACCTATAGAACTGTGTGGTCTGACTTCTAATGCAAAAATAATTTTCATGTATATTGCATGGATTTTTTTAATGACAGAATGCCTGACAGTTTGCCACACATTCATCTTCTAGATAGAACCTGATTACAGGGTTAGTGTTCCTGGAGATGAATAACAAGATTTGGAACATTTGACTGTACCAAGGTGTTTCAGGAGGTGTGAATGAAGACTTTTGATGACTGCCAATCTTAACTCTAGGGCAAGTTAGATCGGTTTATAGTGAATTAAAAACATCCATTCCCATACTCATTAGACTTTTGAGTTGTCTAGGATTAAAGGGCGATGATCAGATTGAATTATACAGCATTAAAATCTTGTAATCTCTGTCATGACCAGAAGGTCATTTGAAGGTTTTTGTATTCTTAGGCTGCAATCAGGTCATAGTCCTCAATCTTTATAATCTTTTTAAAAATAACCATGAGATTTGGAAGCTTAAATTCTTTTGACATTACAAATGTAATGAGAATCACAAAGTTGTGGAGTTTGTTGACAATGAGTAGGACTGACATGCATAGAAACTAGAAAGCATGTGTAAATGAAGCTTGGGTTAGAATAATGACTGAACTCAAAAAGGCTGCAATTCTCAGCAAGAAGTGTTTGAAAACTGACTTGTTTTGCGCATATACCATAGAGATTGCTGAAATGAATTGGCTGGGTCCACTGGCCACCCACTTTAAGTTACGTCCTGTCCCTCCCATCTCTCTTCCTCTATCTGCCTTGGATCCCAAGTGAATTCAGAAATTTAGGAACTGAAGATATAAGAAAGGTAGATGCAGCAACAGTATAAAAGAGATGGTTACCAAGATACGCTCATTCAAGTATTGAATTAAATTATGAACCATGCTGCTAAAGCATTTCATGGGCTGGGTATTTCTAGGGGTAATCCTCCTTGGTTTGTTATTTAAAAAAACCCAAAACCACAATGATATACTACATAATACACTGTCCTTGTCTTATTTTTGACGTGTACTTAATTTTGAACATATTCTGTAAGAGCAACACGTTGATTTACTAAAGATTCAATTTTGTTTGTTTCTGAGAAATGTATTCATGGGAGTGAACACTGTAAGTTGTCTAATTTGTGCCATTGGAGAGGTAGCTGTGCCATTCTCTTCGGCTGCATTATGACAATAAAATTTTAATAATGTTAGAAAATGTCTAATGGTGAGACTTATGTTGACACTATTCTCTGTAACCGTGGGCTGATCACCTCTCCCTTAATTGTACTTTCCATGTGTCTTACAAAAATGTTTGCAGAACTTTTCAAAGATGAAGTGTTGTATAATTGCTATGTATCATCATTCTATAATGTTTTTGACATAATATATGCCATCTGCTTGTTACTTGTCTCATTTTTTCAAAATAAGGAATACATTGGGTCTCCCCCTGCACTCATGAATATATGCATCATATTGAATATTTATTTGCTCACGTAAATCACCTTGAGCATTGTAAAACGATGAAATATTGCTGGTTCTGTAATATTAATTAAATTCTGCATTATGTAAACACCAAATTAAGAAAGTGTGTTGATTCCTCTTTCTGTTTACTTAATAGGTTTCATTGGAAAACTGTGTTGAGGTTGGGCGAATTGCCAACACATACAATCTCACAGAAGTGGATAAATACGTTAATAATTTCATCCTGAAGAACTTCCCTGCATTATTAAGTACTGGTGAATTTGTGAAACTCCCCTTTGAACGTCTTGCCTTTGTGCTTTCAAGTAATAGCCTTAAGCACTGCACTGAACTTGAACTCTTCAAGGCGGCTTGTCGCTGGCTAAGGTACGAGGAGCCTCGGATGGAGTATGCTGCAAAGCTAATGAAGAACATCAGGTTTCCGCTGATGACGCCCCAGGATCTTATTAACTATGTTCAAACAGTGGACTTCATGAGAACTGACAATACCTGTGTAAACTTGCTTTTGGAAGCCAGCAATTACCAAATGATGCCATACATGCAACCGGTTATGCAGTCGGAGAGAACTGCCATTCGGTCGGACAGTACTCACTTGGTGACGTTGGGGGGAGTGCTGAGGCAGCAGCTGGTTGTCAGCAAGGAGTTACGGATGTATGACGAAAAAGCTCACGAATGGAAGTCCTTAGCTCCCATGGATGCACCAAGGTACCAGCACGGCATCGCCGTGATTGGAAACTTTCTTTACGTAGTTGGGGGCCAGAGCAATTACGACACGAAGGGAAAGACAGCAGTTGACACGGTCTTTAGGTTTGATCCTCGCTACAACAAGTGGATGCAAGTTGCATCTTTAAATGAGAAGCGCACCTTCTTCCACCTAAGTGCCCTCAAAGGACATTTGTATGCAGTCGGTGGTCGAAATGCAGCGGGTGAGCTAGGTGAGTGTTCCTCCTGAAGCGTGGCTTCTTGCCTTGCTTTTGAGCCCTTGAAATATTGTGCTGCCCTGTGAATGGGTGGAGAGGAAACAAGATAAAGCTGTTGGTATGCAGCTTCTTTCTGGAAGTACTGCAGATCCATAGAGAAACTTGTCTGGATGGTATTAGCAGTTAAAAGGCTTCCACAAAAAAAATTGCCAGACACATAGATCTTGTGTATTGATGCATAATATCTGATGTCTTCACCTTTATCATCAGACATGAAGTAACCATGTGTATGTATATAAACACAACTGTATAGAAAAAGAAATCACACAACTGTCAGAAAAAAATATCATTACTTAAGCTGAGAAACCAAACCCACTCTTTTCACTCTTAAGGGATACATGACTTTCTAACTGAAACGCCCTGTTCAATGAAGGTTGCATTTTAAAAGATGCAAACTTTCTGGAATAATCAATTTGAAATGCTGGTAATTTTTATTAAAGGGTAGTTATTTGTTTCACTCACAGATCAGTGAGATCCAGATGTTCTGATATTCTGGTCTTTCAAATTATTAAAATGTTAGATTTTTGCCTGTGATCTTGTGACTACACAGTTAACTTATATGAATAACTGTGCTGCTGCCTCCTTTTTTCTTCATTGCAAATGATGATTCATTTTACTTCACCAAAAAGAAATTAAAAAATCAATTTCAGGGACATAAGATGGTTGGAAACAAAGAAGAAATACATGGCAACTTTTCATTTAACAAAAGGCAGTAGAGTATGGCCTGTATTAATCCACTGCATTTTCCAAAGACACAGTGGTTGGCATTTGCAGTCGAGTCTGGAACTGTACACTCAATTGTAAATTTGTCTGTGCTTTAAAATTGAAGTGTTGTTATGCTTGGAATTTTAGCATAATGTTGCATCTGGTTTAGATATAATATTTCATTATTTTGCTTGCTGCTTTCAGCCCAGTACTTAACCGGGTCTTGTCAAGTCTTTGTGGCAGTAGCTCTTGCTGCTAAGATTTGCTTTTTAGAAATGCACTGATATCTTTAGGTGCAGTGAGAAACATGTTTAATTGAAACACTACACAATCTAATTTGTACTGCAGCATCTGTGACACTTTTTTTTTTTACTAGTGCATCTTCATCATTCACATATACACTTTTGTTTCATTATCACACTTTCATAGGAAACATAGCACGTTGCTTCTACTACACAAGACTGGACTGGTTTTGCTTTTTCATTCTAATATTTGATGACATGAGATATTTAAAAATGCCACCTGTTTCCAAACAACATGGTGAAACTGTTTGGCAATAGCTTGTTTTCCTTAGTTCTTCCTGATCCAGAGGTTTTCAGTGTTTTTCTTACATGACACTTTATGTACCTGAAAATACACACTAAAAGCAAGCTTAATACCCTGCAAAAAACAGATTGTACAAACTAATGTGAATTGATCTTTGAGTATCAGAAAACCTGACTTTCACTGAGCTTTCCTAATGGTATGAATTAATAGCAGATTATCAGATTGCTGTCCTTATGTACTTTACCAGTGAAACAGAGTAGGGTTATAAGAATGCCAGTGAAAAGTTCCAAGTCTAACAAAATCAATGTGAAATAATACTGTCACTAAGCCAGTGCAACCTGTGTGTACAGCAGGCTTAAGTGCAGTGTTTTTCTTCAATTAGATGCAGGCAGTATCGTTCTGCTGACCTCAACAATTCTGCAGCTTTAATTAAAATACAAAATCTATTACCTGTCTAAAATTCTCTGTAAAGGTATCATTAAAATGCTGAAACGATTTCCACATGGACCTGAAAAATGTCATTGGATCATTCTGTGGAAAGAGTACTCTATAAATGCTAAATATTGTAGCTGTCTGATGCTTTGATTTGGGGCTTCAGTTTCGTTTCTTGTTAATTGCAAGGCAAGTCACTTTTCATTTTCATGTTTCTTTCATAAACCTTGACAGCTGAAAGATGAAATCCTGCTTAAACTTCCCATTCTCTTCAGATGAGAAAAACTCTCAAGCTTTTCATAGAAGAGCAGGTCAAATGTGTGTTGGACAAGTATTAAAGAAGTTGCCTCTGGGTTCAAACTAATTTCAATCAGTTGTTGGAGAGGAGAAATTCCCCAAACCTGAATTCAGCTTTCCAGAAGATCAGCTCTTACAGAAAAGGACCAAAGGATTAAAGCTACTGAAATTATTTTCTTTATTATTTTTTTCTACTGACATTCACTGGAATAAAAAATACACCCTTCTGAGGTGCTCTATCAAGCCTTTCCAAAACAGTTTTGAAATGTTTAATCATCTGAGAACTTTGTAAATGCCACTTTCTACCTCAGTAGTATGTGCTTTTAGCAGTAATAAACAGCTGCTGTTTTAACAGTACATGCCACTGAGAAAAGTTTGGTTCATTGGTATGGATGAGTGAATTTGCATGTATGTGGTAAATGTATCTTTGAAATGTACTGAATTATGGAATTAGAATACAGATTTTTTTCAACCCTGTGACAATTTAAGGCTTGTAGAACCATATACCACCCCTAGAAGGGATTGTTTATAATTTTGGGTGGTTGTTCTTAAATGTCAAATCAGGCACCTGCCAAAGATATTCCCAGAAGGCAGATGCAGCAGCACTCTGGCACAAGGAGGAGACCAGCCTGGAGAAGGCAGGTGTGCAAAAGCCAAGACTTTTTGGAAAAGGAGACAAAGCAAAAACCAGGTGCAGTTCACAGAGATACTCGTGAAGCAGAGTTCATTGGCAATCTCCAGCTGTGCTGTTGTGCAGAGTTTTCTCAGACAACTAGCTTTTTATAGCTCTTTTTAAAGGAGTTCAGTTGTGGTTCTTGATGATGATGGCAGTAGCTGTGCCTTTAGGTATTAGAAAGCCTGTGCAGTTAGGTACTTTCCAGATATTTCAAGCTCTGATGTTGATAGGCTTGAGTGGAGTTCGAGATTTTTATATATGGGCTTTTCCTAAGCACTTTAGGGGATGTTGGATTGCAGCTAAACCACAGATCCATTGATACCTTCATCATCATGCTGCAGTAAAGACAGAAAGAGAAGACTCCTAGCCCAGGGCAGGACAGTTAGATATTCTTCTGAGCCCCTGCCCAACAAGCAGGAAGGCATTTATTTTCCAGGTGCCCTCTCCATGATGTTTAACCCTCAATTCAAACAACTTCTTGTTTATGTAAAAACTTCTCTTGTTAGTCTATGTTATATATATACACATATATATATATATATATATATATATATATTTTTAACGGTTAAGAAGAAAATTAAGCATCATTACCCAGTTGGGCTGTTTGCTGTCTGTGTAATACTGTGAATATCAAACTGAAGTGTGAACTGGAGGACCTCTTGCATAGGAACTTACTTTGAAGTGGCTCCTTGCTATGCTAGGGACAGAATTACTCAGGGCTTTGTTTAATTTAACCAAGTCAGTTTTGAGTTGTGCATAAGCAAGCTGTGTTATAGAAATACTACAACAAAATTAAGATCCCGTGTTTTGGGACAACCATCACACACAGTTGCCAAGTGCTGCTGTAATAAACCTCAAGACACATTAGAAGCTACTGACAGAGAAGTGGTAAATATCTGTATACTCCTCAAATAGCATCACAGATGGCACTATAAAATGAGTGCAGACTGAGCATCCCTTGGGACTGCCAAAGCTTTGTGTCTTTTTGAGATTGCTTAATTCTATTAAAATGAGGCCTGTCTTCCCTGGATTATGGTAATGAACAGATCACAAGTTCCACTGTTAAACATAAATAACGCCTGATTTGAATTGTTCATGCTGTTGGGAGAATGAATCCAGCAGTCTCATGCTATATAGGATATATACTTAGGCTCAGTACAGTAGCAGTTCTTTTGAGTGTTTTGTGAACTGTGCTCTGTCTGGAGATGATACATCATCTCCAAATAAGGCATCCTGATGCCTGCCTCAAATTGGCCGACACTTTCAGTAGCTGGAATTTTCAGTATTTTTTCCTTTTCAGTGCAGAGGAGATCTTGTTGAAAGAGAAATGGAATGATCTTGCAAGGTAACAGGGCAACAGCTATGCAGAACAACCAAACAAAAGAGTAGGTTTTTTCAGCTGGGAAGTGATTAGCTTTGTTTTAGAGGATGATAGATTTGAGACTTGAGTTGGGATGGTTCCTCTGAAATACTGTCAAACAGTACTTCAGCTGTATTGGTAATGTTGGAGAGAATTTTGAAGCCACGTCAGAAGGTGAGGGATCTTGGACTCAACATCATCCTTTCTCAGATAACTAATGCCTTCACAATGTGTGATAGTGATGTTTTATCTTTTCTTGCTAAAGCGATCTTTTGGCGATGGTTTCTCTCTTAAATTCAGTCTGTAGTGCAGAGTGAGGTAGACAGTTGTCCAGTGTTGAATGTCATCTTAATCTGGTTGCTGCTGGCTTTGCAATTGGTTTGTACATATTCTGCTCTTCCTGTCCTTATAGTGTATTAGAAATTTAAGTTCCTTAGCAAGGAGTAGAAGCGTTGTGGTGAAGAGGATGCCTTTGTTTTTGTGTAAGCAAGTAGAATGATGATTTCAGTGCAGCATAGCAGTAAACAGCAGGTCGGAAGGGTCTGCTGTCAGGGTAGAACTGGGACAGCTATAATTACTCGCATGTCAAATCTGTTTTTCTCTGTTCTTGAAATTTCTGCACATCTTTGTTTTCTTCTGATTGCTAAATAGAGCGGAGTAGAAAGGGGCTTTCTTTTTTAGAAAAGAATATTGGAATGGATGAATACATTTATACAAGAGTGAGCACAGGTTTATTTGGGGATTAGACAAATACTGCATGTGGTGTCAAGATGACAGTACACAGAAATACAACTCACAGATTTAATTTTAGGTGTAATTTGTGGAATCAATTCTTTGTGCCTATACCTTTGTTTGGGCAAGAGGATGTCTCCAGCATTCACTGGCTTTAAGATTGTATAAGTCCTTGGTGGATATACAAAGTCTGCAGCATGTCAAATTGAAGAAATACCAAAATTTTTGTTGTAGAAGGATGCTTGAATGCCTTTTCGTACCTTTTTTTATATGGGCTTTTATCTACCTGTACATGTGTTTAATGTGAAAGGCAGCTCGAGACTTATTTCGAAGGGCTGGGGGAGGAGATTGCAGTAACAGGAAAGCTGGATTGTAGGGAAGTGTTTAGTAAAGGATTGTTCTCCTAGAGTAAACTTTGGAATTTACCCATATTGGGTAGTTTTTTTAAATCACAGACTTGGCATATTAACAGTAGTGTGTAAAGACACTTAACTTCAGTTACTTTGCATCAGTTTTTTATTTTTTGTCCATCAAAGCCCTGGGATGGCTGGCATAACTGGGAGTTGGTGTGCAAGGCACTCTTACCAAACTAGAGGCATTTCAGGCTCTCATTACTATTTTTAAACAGCTTCAAGAATGTGAAATTAATAATTTTATATTTATGAATCAATGTATATAATTTGTTTTGAAATAAGTAGGAATTTAGTAGATTTTGCCTTATATCTTGAACCGTATGTTCTGGACCAGCTCTTTTCTGTATTTTATAAATTTAAGTTTCAGTTCTTGGCTGGGGAAAAGCTGAAGATAATCCAGTGTGCTCTTAACAGTTTAGTGATTCTCATGTGCAATATAGATTTTTATTTTTTTTTAAATATTATTTTAACCTTACATGATGCTGAACTGGTGGTCAAAAACAGTATTTGTGACACTGGAAGCTTCTATTTTGAGTGTGTCTATTTGAGATACTAATTGCATGGAATCATGAAATACCATCCTGTTATGCAACAATAAGGAGGTTGTGTGTTTTACAGCAGCTAAAAGATAATTCAGAAGGTCAATGTAATGCACTCTTTGCTAAATTTTGGCTTGACACTAGAGATCTTTTGGAGATAGGTGTATCGGTGGTCTCAGACTTACTCTTCCAAAATGCTCCAAGGGATTTTTTTTTTTTTTTTTAAAGACAGATTTGGAGTTTAGGGTGAGGTACCTTTTAATCACTGTATGAATATTAGTGATTGATACACTTTACTAGCCTGGCCAGTACTGCTAGTTCTACAGGCTTGTACTAGCACTAACTAGTTTCTGTCTTTAAAATGTCAGGTTTCTCAACTTCTAATTTTTTTTTTTTTAATTCTTTTGTTTGATATATAATGCTGGACTGTAAGTCACCATCACTGATCCCATAGAGTTGGCTCAGATTTTCTACCCTTGATTGAATAAAAAGCTTGTTCTGGAGCAAGTAAAATATCACTTTCAAAAACAGATTTAATTTTGTACATGTAATTCATAAAATCTCTCTTCAGAGACAAAGCATTGTATAACAGAATCTGATTCTTAATTTTAATTACTTAAAATGAGTTTTAATTTGTCTTTAAGATAACACAGTTATTGATGATTGCTTTGTGTGTCATAAGGTCACTATATTACAGGGTTTTTCAGGATTTCTTGTCCCTCTGGTCATATTGTACTATTCAAGCTGTCAATCTCTACAGTTTGCTCAGGTCCATTATTATTATTATTCTGTTTTCTGTTTTTATTCTCTGAGCTTACTGCGTACCCCTTTTCCTGCAAACCCATGTCACTTCCATCCCACTTTGAATAGAGGATTCCTCTTCAGAAGTGCTTTCTGCAGGGACATCTGTGCTCTGGGTTTCTTTTTAACCTTAGTACTAACCTCTGCAATTTCTGATTTGATAAGTCCTTTGATCATTTTAACATTAGAATTCACAAAGAAAAGTGCACAAATGGAGTGGTGTATCGACACAGGTGCTGCTTCTTTCCATTTGGGATTCATCTTGTATTTTTTTAAAGCTTGGCTTTTGTAAACTGTTTGAATTAGTGACTTGCATATGCTGTGCTGTATGTTGCTGTGCAAGTACTTAAAAGATTGCAAGACAAGAGAAAATTAGTGAACAATTGCTGCCCCTTTTCGGAGGGCATAGGACCATTTCAGTGCAGAATACCAAGAAAATCTAGCCTGGTTTTCTGCATAGGTGGGACTTAGCTGAGGTCATGGACCTGAGAAAAATGATTTGGTATCCAGAAACACTGACTGTCTTTGAGACAGGTTTTAAGTTTATACCCTGTCTCTCTGTGGCAGACACTGAAGATACTTGCACAAGAGAAAATGGTAGAAAGCTGAATTCATCCAGCTTTTTATTTTCTCTGATGTTCTGTAGCTGTACCTTGGGCAGGGTTCATGAGCTGGGGCAGGTTGTGTGCCAGGCAGGAATGGGAATGAGACAGGTGGAAGGCAAGAATGCAGGAAGGTTTTTTTCTTCCTTTCTGTTCCTTTGGGATGGCACTTGAGGTTTTTCTGTATTGTCTGTAGACATAATGCTCAATAATTCCCTTGTCGCTTTCTCAGCTGAACAATGTTTCTCATTGATACTTCCTCTGTTTATGAATATATTACTGCCACTGTGACTGTACTCAAAACCAAACTGCCATGCTAGCTTCAACACTTTATATTCTTATTTGTTTTAAACAGCCACTGTGGAATGTTACAATCCCAGAATGAATGAATGGAGCTATGTCGCAAAGATGAATGAACCCCACTATGGTCATGCTGGAACCGTGTATGGGGGATTGATGTATATTTCAGGTAAATAATTCATTGATATCTTTATGAAGCAATTTCTTACCTAATTTTTTCTATTTCATGGGGAGACAATAAAAATTAGTCTCTGGTTGCAATGAGTTTGCCAAGGTATAAGCAGTGATACAAATTCATATGAAGCCATTCAAATAGCATATATACTGCAGAGGCTGAGAAAATTTTTATATCATTTACATAATAATTTGCATAATAAAAGACAGTTCTGAACTCCAAAACATTTAACTGTCAGAATAGATTTTTTTTTTTGTGGCAACAGCACATATAAACATTTATATAGCAATAATTGTTAATACACATCCTCTCTGATACATTTTGGAAAGCACTGGAAATTTTAGTGAAGAATATCTGCCTTCATTAGGGATAAGTGTTCATGTTAAACACGATATATGAATTATTTCTGTACTTTCACTGGTCTTTCATTTGTAATATGCTCAGTCCCATATGTCACCAAGGTCATAGTTGCATTCCATTTTTTTCCAAACTGGGGGCAATAAGTTTTCTGAAAATCTGGTGTCTGCTCAATTTTGAAAGAAGATTCAGTTTCTGTGAGTGATCTCCAGAGATCACATACCTGTGTATGTTCTACTGCGATTTTTAAGGGATATTTTCTAAGAACTTATCTGACTTTCAGGGCGGGAAGTGGGACAAGGTTGCTTAGCTGTAAAGAGGGATTTATTTTAAAATTTACCATAAAATACAGTTTACTTTTCTATGAATGAGTTCATTAAGCTAGCTTCTGATCATTGTGCTACTATTTGTACTTTTTTGCCCACTCTGCTGGTTTTACTGCAGGTGGCACATGTATATGCTCCCTAATGTGTTTTTTCATACAGATGCTGTGTATTTCCCACAGCTGCTTTTTTTCCTCCTCCCATGACTCTAGATGCGTTTGGGGTTGAAAATGTGAAGATTGGTTCCTTTGTCATTTAAAGCCTCTTCTCTCTGACAGAATCCCAAGCACTGTCACTACTATGGCTGTCATTAAGTGTCAGGGTTGGACAGTCCTCCTGTTTTTTCTGTATTTAATTCTTACTGTCCAACTGAAGAATTAAGTACTTTCTTGCATAACTCCTGTCAACATCATGCCATCTCTGTCTGCTAATAAGCCAAGCGTGACAATTCAGTGTTGAATGATTAGCCCAGCAGGAGATTGTTTAGTAGCAGTGTGTTCTCCTCATATATTCTAGCACCTCAAATATAGTTGCGTTGTGATCTTAAACCATAGCTACTAAGCCTACAGTGTCTGAAATTGGTGTGACTGCTTTCTGACCTGTCTAGTGACCTTGCAGAAAGGTGGAACATTCATCCACTGATGGGAAATCATCCTGTGATTTCCCCTGAAGCCTCTCCAACTGCTTTTGCAGGACACTGTGGAGAATGTAAACATAGAGAACACCACAGGCATCTATTAACAGAAGAATCTTTGAAATCTGTGTTCTCTCTCTGTCCCTCAAAGTTTTCTGAAGAAAATGATGCTATGTGATAGAACCACTTAAAACACAATAGCGTAGTATCAAAATTTGAAAGGGAAATGGATTCCTGTTTTCTTGATCATGGGAAACAAAGCTGGCAAACTGAACAAATGTAAGCAAAGAAATAATTTTGCCAAAATGAAGCATAGGTAACAATTTTTTGTTCTTTTAATCTGACAGCACCATCTTAAGTAATGAAGTCCTGTATGAGACTTGGCTTCTTTCCATATTCACATTTAAAGGAACACGGTACATAAAAAAAAGTAGTTTGAAGTGGAGCACATATGTGGTAGTAATCTATGCTAATGTGAAAAGTTTTTAGGAAAGGTTGAACTAATTCATGAAAATGTGTGTTTCTGCTGTTTATTTCTTACTAGGGTGAGCACTGCTCTAACATGTGTTTTATTTCTCTAGGGGGAATTACCCATGATACTTTCCAAAAAGAACTTATGTGTTTTGACCCTGACACAGACAAATGGACTCAGAAAGCTCCGATGACGACAGTCAGAGGTCTGCATTGCATGTGTACTGTAGGAGACAAGCTATATGTTATTGGTGGAAATCACTTTAGAGGAACGAGTGATTATGATGATGTCCTAAGCTGTGAATATTACTCACCAACTCTAGACCAGTGGACTCCAATTGCTGCCATGTTACGTGGGCAAAGTGATGTTGGGGTTGCTGTCTTTGAAAATAAAATCTATGTTGTTGGAGGATATTCTTGGAATAATCGGTGTATGGTGGAAATTGTTCAGAAATATGATCCAGAAAAAGATGAGTGGCATAAAGTATTTGACCTTCCAGAATCACTTGGTGGCATTCGAGCCTGCACTCTTACTGTTTTCCCACCGGAGGACAATACAGGGTCGCCGTCTAGAGAATCTCCTCTTTCAGCACCTTAGAAACATCCCTTGACTTATGATGTTGTAGTAACACCTTTGCACTGCATCATGGAGTCTGTTATTTTTCTTCAGTAGTTTCTGTTAGGCTTAGCCTACAGCATTTCATACGATTACTGGAAAAAAAAAAAAAAAGACTTTGACATTATTTGTGCTGTTTGTTTGGCCTAGAATGTTTGTCAAGTGGTTAACAAAACAAGATGTACTTGCCCAAGCCAAATGTTTAACAAATGAGAAGATATTGTCTATAAAATGTATGAACTAGGTACGTTATTAATGTTGTGTATTGGGTGTGAGGTACCTTTTAGCTTACATTTGGGAGCCCAACGAGTCAAATTTGAAGACTTTGTATTGAACACATTCTTTCACTAAATTTCATAGTTGAAATCCTTTTTCCTTTCATTTTTGACTGTCGATTACAAGGGGAGGTAGACTATATCAATGTGAACTATGACAGAAGGTTGCCAAGGGGCCTGAGCTACCTCCCTATTTTCAGAGTATTTTTGAAAAATCTGTTTACCCACCTGACTTTGTGGGTGCTTTCAGAGCATATGAAGTTTCTTAGGCAGAGGGGAGAAATAACATAATTTTAAAATACTAGCACTATACGGGAAGCGGACCTTGTAGAGGCCAGGAGTTTTTTTATAATGTGTTTTGAGTGTTTTTCCTGAGTCGGTTGAGTGATGCTTCAAACAAAAGATTTAAACGTTTGGGTTTTTTAATTTGGGTTTTTTTCAGGAGTTGGCTTCCGCTTGCATGGGAGCACACACTACTAACACATGGGAATTCAGTACAGTTGTATATTCTGTTATATGCCTGCACTGAATATAGGTAGATAAGGGCTAGAAACATTAACTTAAGCCACTGAATTTGACAAAATCGTTCCATCAGATCAAATTTAATCTACCTTTCTCCTTTACTGTTGAGATAACTTGCATAATGTGTCCTCTGTATAGTCTCAGTTAATAAGGTTATTTAGCACAAAGTGCAGCTTCAGCGAGAGAGCTGCTTTTGCTCAGTGAACTTGGACTACCACATTTTACCTTCTTTTGTTCAATAAAACTTTTAACTGCAGTTATTCAGTCTAAGCTACCTCATTAATGTATTTGGTTTTCTTCCTCTGCCTCACTGTTTCCAGGATACACATGTATATCTGTGTAGGTAGATTAATTTGCTAGGAAACCAATGCAGAAGTGATCATGAATGGGTATTTTTGACCTACTTTTAAGAAACTGTTTTGGCCTGATGTGTTCATTTTATTGTTAAGGACTGACGAAAGAACAAACTGTCTTAATTTTTTTTTTTTTTTCCTTGGAGAACTACTGCTTATGTGTGCAGCCATGCAAACTTACAGAAACCTTTATCTGCTCCAAAGTACAGTGCACTGCTGACAAATTGCAGCTCTGAGTGCTTCTAGAAGGCTGATACCATCGTGCTTGTTCTGAACTTCCCATCGTATGTTACAAGTGGTTTTGCTGCTGAGCAGTCAGAGGGGCATCATCTGAGGGAAACTGTTTTAAATCAGTTAGCTTCAGCTTCTTTTATTGTGCTGCCTATTACTAATAACCTTGTAAAGCTTAATAGACTTTTTTGGGGAGTATGCTATTTGTATTTTGTACCTGCTTGATGCATCAAGCAGCAGTATTACTATGGTGTCAATTTTGGAAGTACTAGTATTTATTCTTTATGCAGTTTACTAGTAATGATCACTACCAAAATGTATGTGTAAGCTTTAGGTTTTATAATTGTTTTGGGTAAAATCAAAAGCAATTCTTCCTCTTTAAAAAATAATTCTGCGTAGCTGTGCAAGGTTGTTACAGGTGTTAATAGTGGCACCAGTGGATACTCTTGGAAAGTAGCCAGTCAAGATGAATTGACTCATTACCTTAAAAATACATTTCTAATGCTGTGCAAAGCACCAAATAGGAGAATGTTGCTCTGTAATTTAAGTATGTGTCAGTCATTTGTGTCACATGCTACTAATTTTTTTTCCAGCTCAAAGACCAGATTCTAGAGCCTGCTTGAGTTGAAATCCCCTGAAATCCGTATTACGTTTCCATTTTATTAATTAAACTAAAAAGTAGATAAAGTAGTTGCAACTTCTTTTGGGTAATGTAAATATATCCTGCTGCTGTCTGTATGCTGGGGATGAGGAGATGCTCTGTTTAAAAGTGGATATCTTCACTGGTATTCTCATTCAGAAGCAGCTTTGGGTGGGTTCTAACCCTTGTGAGATGGTTATAAGCTAAGATGTCAAAGATTTGTCTGAGCCTTGTGAATAGCTCAGGAGTTGGTGTATGGCCACAATGGTGGTTTGTTTCTTTTTTTTAGTGACTCATTATCTATTCTGCTTAAAGTGGAAGAATTCTTTTTGAATGTCATTTTGTCATCAGTGTTGGACATAGCATAGTGGATTAAATGTAGTGCTTCAATCAAATTAATCTTTGAGGTTTTTTCTTGTATCTCCCTCTGGATTAAAGTGTTCATAATGACAGTTAGTATCTACTCACCAGGATTGAAAAGCAAACATCAAAGATTTGCCAAAACCTGCAAGCTGTTTTCTTCTGTAATGCAGTGTAAAATGACTTGATGCTCATTACATCTTTCTTAACCATAGCATAACAAACCCTTTCCATCTCTGAATCCACAGCTGTACATATAGATACAGCAGATACTCAATCTCCATTTTCAGTAAGGCTGCTTTTATGAAAAGTAAACACGTCATAGTATCTAGAGCCAACAGTGTCCACCTGATAAGCAGCTGCTTCTTTCTTTCATAAGTTTTGAGTGCTTTCATTTTTGCAGTTGTATGTAAATTAGAAAAGCATCTGGATAAAAAGCAATTAGTAGATATTTGACCTGAATGTGAGTAAGACTACATTAATGTGCTAGCAGGCAGAGCTGCGTGAGCTGTCTGCCCTCTCCTGATGATGGCAGACTCACACCGCAATCTCAGAATTCATTTGGACTTTGCTTTTTTTTTTTTTCTCCGTGCCCAGTTAGCAACAAAAGTGCTCACTTCTATATGGAACTTTTCATGGCTGATATCCCTGCAAAGAGACACAGCGCTCTGACTCAGTACATCTGGGGTGACATTTCCTTGTGCTGTGTTTTGAAACTGGACAAGAATGATGGGGAAGAAAACCTTGGAAAACCCAAATTATTTGAAGGGTTTTTGCCCTATTCACGTAAGAGCTGATCACTTGCAGATGTCCAGTTTTCTGTGGTTCCACTTCCTTTAGAAAGTTGTATAAAGTATTAAGAGTCTGGGCCAAGGGAAAGCGATTCATGGCAGGACCCAACCTGTCTTGGGGCACTTGTAGGCTTGGCATTGTTGGGATAATGGAGTTGTCATGAAGGGGTGAGAACTGGAGCAGCAGAAGGCATCTGTCTGACGGCCTGGCCTGCAGCTCTAGAGTTCCCTTGTTCTGAAGAATCACTGTGAGTCTTAATCTTTCCCAGGACAACAATGAGTTGTTTTCTCATACCGATGCTATTTTTAAATTGCCCATTCTGTTTCTGAGCGGGGGGAGTCTTCAAGGAGTAGTATTTTAGTCAGAAAGCTCAAACCAATAGCCTGATTATTTAGCAGAATAATGGAAACCTTGGATTAGGGCAGTTTGTGTACAAATAAAATTGTCCCCAAAGGTTTACAGTCTTAATCTGATGGGCTGGTTGGACATCCAAAGATAATTTGGTGCCGCAGCAATAAGTGCAGTAAAAGTGTCTGGAGGAGTTTATAGCCAAAGATTTGGTGATTACCTGATCTGGAAGGTTCAGGGCACTTATTTTGCAGAGTTCACTCTGCTTACTAGAATTGTTGTTCCGTTTTAAATTATCCTCCAGCTGGTAATTACCTCATCTTTGCATTGGTGTCTGACTCTGCCAGTTGCTAGGTTTTTTAATTTTTCCTTTTATAGCTGACCTATTTGTTACTTGCTCAGCTCCTAATTAGAATTGATACAGCTGAAGCTTTTCTAGTGGCATGGCCCTCATGTCAAGGGAGAAAATAGCCCATTTCTCCTATATAACATACTTTGAGAAATGTAATCTTAATTCAGCTTGCGCATATTTGGAAATATATAAGCAGTTTTAACCTAGTAAAAATTGTGTGTGTGTGTGTTGAAGGAGTAATGTGCGTCCTATTTCCTCCTGGCTTACACCTTACGTGGTGTTTTAGTTTGTGCGTAGTGATAGATTACCCAGAGGTCTGGAGGGTGAGTCCAAGCTCTCTTGTGTAGCACTTTATGCTTTCCATGCTCTGCGAAAGTGTTCTTTACTTGCACAGCGTATGTAGCTTATCAGGTATTTTTTTCTTTTATATTTCAGTTAAAATGTGAATGATAGTTCTTTGATACAGATGTGATTAAAAAAAAAAAGTCTTAAAATGCAGAGTTACATATGATTTGCTTAATGATAAAGGGTTTGGTCCCATGAGTATTGCAGGACCCATTCAACTATGAAAAGGTGATCACAATTTTGAGAACAAGCTAGGGGATTAGGATGACTTTACTGACTGGCACCAGTTCACATGTTCTTGTTGACAGACAGTCTTTTGCAGATGGCCAAGTGAACTTTTCTCAGTCCGTAGGCTCTGTCTTTTGATGTACAGCTCTGCTGGATCTTCTGATTACCTATTCTGGGGAAAACGTGGTGGGATTTGTTCCACAACATATCTGACCCTAAAACAACATGGCTAGTTTTTTGTCAGGAATTCCAGCATTAGTGATACACAGGAGTCCTCTGGGAGTTTATTTAATGACTATCCGATTTGTAGAAGGTGCAGCCCAGATAACCGGGGGGTGGTGCTACAGCAGGAGCCCTGCATGGTTGACATTCTAGAAGGGATGATATCAAATGGGAATTACTGCCTCCTCCATGTATTATTTTGGATCTTGAATGCTGGGTTTTTTTCCCCCATCTCTGGGAGTGTTTATTGCTGCTATTTGGGTTTTTCACTTTTTATTCATGTAATGACTAATGTCTCTCTGAGTCTGTAGTGGGAGTGAAAGGTTCAGTTCTTTCTAAGCTAGCTACATGCTGTCAGGGTATCCACATATTCATTAAAAAGTTTTCTATTTGGGGCTGTTTCCTAACATTTAGAAGAATTCAGTTTACAGTGTGAAAAGACCTCAGATGAAAATGTCTTTGGGACTGGAAACATGCAAAGCTTGTAAATTTGCTGAGTAAAATTACAGTTCTAGGCAGAAAAAAAAAAATCACTTTTTGGAGAATGTTGGCATGGTTCAGAGATTCATTTGGACATTGAGCTCCCACAGACTGTCTGGAGTGAGATATATATATATATATATATATATTTATTTAATAACTTGTAGTTGGTTTAGGTGAATCTGAGCTCTGTTGTTCATACCTGCTTGCACTCTTGGCTGACCTGTCGCTGTATCTCCCTTTAGATCACAACATTCTGCATTGGCTGCAGTCTGTTTTCTCTGGGCAAGTGTGAAAGCACCTCTCTTGGCTTCCGTATTGCTTGTTGATTGAGTTCCAAAATAAATCTGACCTTTTGATTCTTCTTTCTAAAGTACGTTGTGGCTCTGGCCTGCTAAAGATCATGTGGAGCTGGGGAATGAGGACCGTAGCTTTGACATCTAATTACCCATAGCCCTTCGCTGCCCTGCAGGCAAATATTCCCAAACCCAGCTAAAATCCATGTGCAGGAGGGAAATCTGTTAAGTCTGACCTAAAATTTTAATTACCCTGGCATTTAAAGACCACCAGAATCTCCTTTGTCCTCTTTTCAAGGAGGATTGTGTACCAGAGCTGCTGAGTCTTCTGGAAAGGGGCAAATACAGTAACTCTTTGGCATGCAATACTTCTTTCCTGGCCATTGATTCTGCCCTTATGTGCCCGTGTGGAAATTGCAGGAGGGAGGGTCAGGGTTTGGTCATGCTTTCCAGATCCCAGTAGAGAGCAAGCTTGTTTACTCTCATCTGTCTGCACAGGACTGGGGGGAAAAAAGACCTGTAGGAATGCTTCAGATTTTAAAACATTAACTCACAGAACAGTATCAATTAATGAAGCAAAAAAATAAAATTGTTCCATTTTAACACGTGTTCCCCATATCCAGGATTGTTCCAAAATACTTGCCCTCTGTTGAATTAACAGTTTTGCCTTTACCTCTCTTGTTCAACATCACTGTAAAAAATTGCTTGTTTTTTTCCATTGTTTTTCATTGCTTGTAACCTTTCCTTAGAAGTGTGGAAATAATTTTCCTTACGTGTTTTATGCACCGAAATAAACACACCACTGATCACCTGAGTCCCCTCCCCATCTTTCTTACACAGTGCTTGACAGTGTATCTTTCCATATTTTTACCCAAACCTTTGATAGCTGCCAATAAATATTACAGAGTCGTGTAACTCCTGCTAATGGGCACAGGCTCCTGTGCTGCATCACTAGGTATGGGAAAGAGGCATCACCCCTTTTCTTAACAGTAGAATACAGCTGAAAAAATCATTTGCTTTGGAGACCTGACCTGGATCAGACATTTAAATTTAGATTATTTTGGCCTGTGCTTGTTAACTTTAGTTTTGAATATTTTATTCTTTCAGATACGTTTTTGCAAATAGTACCTATGTAGCTTTTTTACAGAGAGTGTGTGTTCCTTGCTAATAGGTGAGTAGTAGAGCACTGGCTTTGACGTTTACTCAGTGTCTGCCTGCAAGGCTCCAGTTCTGCCCACAAAGGCTCCTTCGGAGTGATGCTCTCCCATCTTCAAAGGAACAATCTTGTGTAACTAAAGAACCTGCACCGGGGACAGGAGAACTGAACTTGGATGGAAAATCAAAGCAGCAGCTTAATTGCAGTTAAGAAAGAAAAGTCAACATCTCAGTTTGAAAGCCTGTGTTTCTCGAAAGGGGAGGGAGAGTTGCTGTCCCATAGGCATGTTTTGTCTGGAGTTCAGGGTATTAACAATGAATGGATTGTTGCTGTAAATAAAGACAATTAAGTAAATCCCCCAGTCTGTCCCCGAAACAGAGACAGATTGCTTCTGTTGATATGCAACACTATTAACATTTGACTGTGTATATATGGGATGTCTCAAGTGCTCATGTATAACAAATGCCTCGCTCTCCTGCTGTAATCACGAGTGATGCCCTAGTTCCCATGAGTCATGTGTGTTCTTTATAGTCAATTCTGAGTGATGTTTTAAAATTATATAGAATATTAGAGAATATGCTTTTGGGGTATTTTAAAACCATTTTAAAGCGCTTTTCTGTATCTAACTATTATAGCATTATTGCATTTACTTGAACCTGGCAGATGCAACATGAAATGCCAGGTTTTGGTTCATCGTTCCGGTTTCTTGGCGTTGCTGCTGCTGCTTTTCACTGTAGAGATTTAAGGAGGGGATGTTTCGTCCTGTGGCAAGAAGCAGCAAAGAAAAGGAAACATCAGATGCCAGACAGATGATGCTGTCAGCACCTCTGCAATTTGGGACAATTTTATGATTTACAATCCTGACAAATTTATCTTGTTTAATAACTCAGGAGGTTTGCATTTGGCCTGCAGTGACACAGTGCTGGGAAAGGAAAAAATCAAACATCTTTGCGTTATTCCCCGAGCTGTGACTTTTGTCATATGCCGTGGAATAACAATGCATGCCCGTCTGCACCGAGGCCCCAAGCCTGAAATCCCATTTCTGTGCACCCGCCTGGGGGACAGGTCCGCTCCCCACAGCGAGAGCAGCTGCCTCTGCCCCGGCGGGCGCTGGAGCCCGCGGCACTGGGAAGCTGAAGGTCAGCGGAGGGAGTTTGGGAAGGCAGGGGCTGGCTGTGCCCCTCGGAGTTGGTGAAGGCTCCTGTGCACAGCGGAGCCCTGAAAATCTCTTCGTCTGACAGCATGGAAGAAAGCTTGTGGTTGGTTGGTTGGTTGGTTTGGGTTTTTTTAATCCTTGATTATTCAGAGGCATAGTTTGAATCTTGTCTCTCCAAATCTTAAGGCAAATGAGCTGCAGTCACTGCGTGTGGAGGTAAGAGCGTGTCTAGATGAAGGGGTCAGGGGGTTTTCCCCCATTTTCTGCAAAGTCCTTAAATATTTCTCACACATTTTGTGTGTCTGATTCCAGGCAGGTTGGGGCATGCAGAGGCGAAGTAGTTGGGAACATGACTGAGACCTCCTCGTGTCACCAAGCCTATGTCCTGTACTTAAGGATGCTGATGAGAAAAAAGCTGCAGTCCTTTTGCTCTCCCCCCACCCCTTTCTCCCCAAAGAAAACCCATCCTATTTGTAAACATATTTTTCATTAGTGCAGGCATTGGATCTGGGAGTTTTAAAAAGATCTCTTATATTTTCCATCTCACTCCTCATTTTTGCTGTCTATTCTAAATTAAGATGAATTTTTTTTAGTCTTCCGTTAACACCATGTGGCATGAGAAACCATGCCATTCAATAAACAGCTGCATCTTGCAGCTTAGGGTTACTCCAAAAAATGTACTACTTAAGGAATCACATTTCATTTTCCTCTTCCATATTTATAAACTTATAAATGTGGACTTTCTGGAATTTAGATAAGTTGATAGAGATGACATGTGCCATATGGTTGCTGGGACAAATTCCAGCTTCATTACGAGTCCACCGACTAAAGGGAAATAGCAGTTACTATTTTGAGCAGTACAAAATCAGCCTATTGATTGGCAAACAAGTTAAAGATTACAGGAGTTTCTTTTTACAGAAGCCCCTGCTCTGAGTCTTCTCCCCATGCCCCACACAGAGCTGACTTTGCAGTTTCAAGCTGTTAAACCCTGTGTTCATCTTGCTACTTGGCCATTGGAAGTGGGTTAGAATTAAGCGGAGGAGTGCTCAGTGTGTAAGATGCAAATACAAAAGCTAATCAGCAAGCAAAACCTCTATATTGCTAAACCTTACTGGCACAATGGTCACTGAGTGGAGAGAGGGACCTGCCGGAGGAAACCCCAAATGTTGCAACTGGTGGGCAAAGCCAGTGCCCTGAGATCAGGAGCATCATGAACTTCCAGTGGTATGTGACCTCCTGACAGCGAGGATCTCCAGCTTCACAGTAAGGAGTGCTGCTGCTTGTCTGAGTTCTGCAGGCAGGTTCTGGATGGAGATCGGGGGAGAGCAGGGCCAGAGCCTTGGAGGGGCACCCTTGGCCCTGGCTGCCCATGAGCTGACTTCAGGGACTGGGTTGTGGTAGAAGGGTGCGATACATATTTATTTTCCCAATTCTTCTGTTTGCTAAAGGAAGACCTTTCCTATTTCTATTCAAAGCCACCTGAAAAGTCTCTGTTCCATTATGCATGAAATGGGAGCAAATAATCTATGACACTCTTCTGATGCTGGTTATCATCTTAAGGTTTGAACTTGTTTTCTCTGACTGTTTATTGATTTTTTTATTTGTTTTTTCTTAAAAGCCCTAATGGCTTGTGATCTGCCTGAAGGTAGATGATGAATCAGGTTCAGACTTTTCTGATTGTCAGCAGCAAAGACTATGCTGTTAAGCAGCTGTTTTGACCACATGTGGAAGGCATAGGAGAATGTTCTGAGGAAGCACTGTTTGCTTTATGAAACAGTTCTTGAATTGCTGCAAGTAACTGGGCTCGTTGCAGGAGTAAGTGATTGGAAGTCTGGTGTGGGACAGATTAAATGTCTAACACAGTACGGGCTGCCCCTCCTGAGCTGCAGCATGACTAGGTGTCCCGTTTGGCTGGGGCTGAGTTTCTGCCACGCTGAAATAGCACTGCCACTTGTGGGGTGAGAGGGCTTCCCCACCTTCCAGATGAGTAACCACTCGAAGTGTGGTGGCATCTCTGCTAGCTGCGTTCTGAGCCAAGCGATGCTCGTCCCTGTTGGTTAGTGCCTCTGCCAAGATGCTGCACATCGCTGCTGAGAACCACCAGCCCCTGAACTACCTGTGCTGCTCTTGCAGAAGGCGGTATGCCCCTCGCTCAGTCGTTGGTGTCTAGTCACTAACTGTGGGCTTTATTCATCTGTCTTGACAGCCTTCAGTAAAAATACTCAACCAGACTAGTAAGTAAAGCAGGCTGACCAGGCCTGTGACCTCATTCTCTGCAGATCCTGGCCAGCGTGTTCTCAGATGCATTTCGCTGAGGTATGAATATCACATAGTCTCATGTGCCTTTCAGAACTGGAGAGTAATGTTTTGGAAGCGCCCGGTCAAAAGAGAGCAAAGTGGCTTTTTCTCTGGATGTGTTACTTGTTGATTTTTTATTTTATTTTTTTTCTTTTTGAGAAGCCAAAGCTTCTTGAGCTTGAAAGTGATTTCAAGACCCTAGTAAGGGAGACCCCAGGTATGGAATTTGCTGACAGTAGAGATACTTGTTTGAGTTTGTTAGGTAATTTCTTTGTTATACCTCTTCCTCCTGGTCCCTAACCTTTTGCTTGGAAAATACACAGACGATTTCATGTCTGACAGTTCAGAATATCGGAGGGGAGTATTTCCTCATAGACATCTCTGCTCCTGCAGATCAGAGCAGTTGTGGCACTCCATAGTGCCAGTTGCATGGGCTCTTGTTACCATAGTACTGCAGAGGTGGCATCAAGGAGAAGGTCACCAGTGCATGAGCTGAAGGTACCACAATTATTTTAGTAACTCTGCTAACAATAGTGGAACTGAGCTGAAAATGTTCCCATCTGAAAGAGTCGAGCTGCAGAAAGCCACCTACTTTTTCTCTATAATTCAATGGAAACTGAGCCTGCTCCTAAATGCAGTCAGGTTTGAAACCTAACCTTGCCTGGAGTTGCAGGGGTTAATGCCCATCTCTACTTTCAGGTGAAAGCTTCGAGACTGGCAGGTATGTGGATTCATGCAAAGTATCTTGCAGTCCCCTTGCTGTCTTCTGCTGTGCTGTCTGCTCTGTATTTAGGCTGTCTTGTCTTGCTAATCACATCACATCTGTCAGCTGTCTGTGGCTAGAAACAAATTGTAAACAAGCTGTCAAGGTGGAGTGGGATGAATTTTCTAAAAAAAAAGGCAAAAAATCAAACCACTGTGAATGACTAAATAAAAAACTTGAGTAGCTAAATAGCAGCTAAATGTTCTTTCTTCCATTTTTAGTGTTTGCTCCATCATAGATGATGGTTTATATATCAACATTTGGTTGTAAAAATGTGCACGACAGTGGCAAATATGACAGTTTCGTCCCTTCTCGTTGCCTGTAGGAAATGCTTCACCACTTCTCAACAAGCTCCCACCTTTGCTTTCCATCATTAAGACACAGGAAAGAGGTGCAGTAGTGCAGTGGCAACTTGTTCTTAGAAACAGTGCAGCCCTAC